ACAGTAGGCTATACAAATTCAACAGTCATATTGTGATTTTCATCAGGACTTAATTTAGCATCTTTTATTGACCTGTCTTGTGCTTATTAATCTTGAGTCTCCAGATCCACTATAAATTCAAGCTCAAAGACCAAGTCTTAGATTCTTCCTGCACTCGGTGTCCGCAGTACTGGGCACATGACACTACCACAATAAATACTTGTGGGTTGGTTACTGTTTGACTTATTTGACAGTTTTCCAAAAGAGTGCAAAGTGTTCTGTGATTTTTCTGGGTTTCTCATATTGATAAATACATTTTCTAGAAATAACCATAATGTTTGCCTAGCCCATGATCTTTATAGTCTGTCATCCTTTTTTCCTAACCAGCTGGACAGAATTCCATTGAAAAGCGGGCTATTTTGTCAAAGGCAAAAAGAACATTTTTCTAATGCAGTCTTTAAGGTTCCTTTTAAGGCTGAGACATAGGACCCAAAAATCACTTGATAACTGTCACCATTCAACAAACCCAGTCTGAGATCCTGCTAAGAATAGGACACAGTGTTGGAGCTGTAGGAAGAATAAAGGAGGAGGACTGAATCTCACAGTGGCTCTGCAGTCAGACTGCCAGGGATACCCTGACCTCCCATATTCCCAGCTGAGTGACCCTGCACCAGTTATTCATTTTTGTCTCTCTTTCCTCATCTAAAATAGGGTAATAAAACAACCCACCTCCTAAGGTTGTCATCAGGAAGAAATGAGTTAATACTCGGACATGTAAAAGCTTTTAGTGTCTAGTACAGGGTAACAATAAATATCAGAGATCTAGATCCCTATAGCTAAACAGACCAAGACCCAGAGAAGCAAAGTGACTTAAGTCACAGAGCTATAAAGAAGTAGAAATCAGAACTAGAACCTAGGTTTCCACATTCTAATCTATTTTCTATGACATTTCCTTGTGGGTATTATGCACAAGTGGCACTCTGGAGGATCTACTGTCCTGACACCTTATAAGCAGGGATAATAAGCACACCCAGCTTCCCCTCTGCCTCTACCTACCCTGAATAGCTGTCCTTCCCTGCTAGCAGGACGTCAGGTTCACCCTATCCTGTTGGTCTCCCATCCAACTCAGATGCACTGGGGAAGATGCACTAAATTTACTACTGGCTACCACAGCAGTGCTGCTAAGAACTCAAGCCCCACTTCTTCGTGGGGTTGTTGTGAGGATTAAACAAGATAAGCACTGAAAAGTGCCCAGCAGAGTATCTGGCATATTAGTATACAGCCAATTAATGTTATCTGTCTAAAAAAACAAAAGAGGAAAACCCTGTGGTGCCTGCAGTCTCGAAGCTGACACACGTTCCAACACCAAATGTCAGACACGGGACAGATTGAGACCTGGTAGGACAGGGGGATGCGTGTCTGTGAAGGATTTCAGTGAAGGGGAAAGTTCACTGAAGACAGAGAAGGGGGCTGGTGACCCTACTCTTTCCCTTCCTATGAAGAAGGAGAAGAAAAAGAAACTTAATTGGTACTTTCCTGGCAAACCCAAGATTTAGAACAGTGGATTTCTAATATTTTAGTATTTCCAAACAGAGCAAAGACTGCCTATGACCTCCTAATTTGCTCTCACACACTTGACTAGCCAAAGCTTAGCTTGGCTGCATTCATCAGTGGCTGTATTCATTCAAGCAATAATGGCTCAGACACAAGATTCAATTAAAAGAGATCCCACAAGTCTCCTTAGAATAGTCACAATATGCTTTGGATTCAAAGTTCTTAAGTACGTCAGCACCATCTTCTCTTCCCTGTCCCAATATTGGCAATTTCTAGTTTTGAAATGACAAACAATATTAGAACAGGAGAAGGAAGAAAGCCTGTGAGAAAGAAGGGAAAACAGGACTAGACCTGGAGCAGAAACCATGTCATTATCCGCTGTTTATCCCTGGGGTGCAGCCCAGGCCTGGCCCACTGCTGGCTGGTGGTAAATGCATAGGGAATGAATCAGTGTTCTAAAGGAGTTCACCACCCAGGCAAGGAGGGTACCTACACATTACACCAAGTTCAACCACAGAATCAATTGCCACCCTCTTTCAGCCCCAGACATGTGGGGAGGATAAAGCACTGGGGCACATGCCTTTACAAAGGGGACAGGTGCTCAGGAAAATACCTGCTTCCTGCTTCCCTGGGCAGGTATTTGCAAGTAGTCTAAGAAGGGGGGCAACTAGGAGTAACTTACACGGTTCCAAGGGAGTGGTTATGCAAATCGCTTAAGCAAATACATGAAAAGGGACGGGAACGATTTCTGACCTGGTATTCCTCACCTGTCCCACTCTCTTCAGAGGGCAAGGTGAAAGACCAAAGCCAAGAGCTCGAGTGAACCGCAAATCTACTTTCTAGGACCCTAAGGAACGTCTCCACGCCCACCCCCTTCACGCCCCGGCAGGTCCTGGGTCATTCTGGCGGGTGGAGGCAGTTCCTGGCTGTCCTCTGCCCCTGCTGCGAGCGACCCGAGTAACGCTACCGCCTCGGTCTCCCCAGCCGAGAACAGGGGAACACCAAGGACGCAGAAGGAGCTCCTTTCCCGAAACGGACGAGAAGGGACAGAGCGGGGGAGTAAAGGGGGAGCAGAACGAGCCCTGCAATGCGAAAGGCGCCCAGCCCGGCTCGCCGCGGCCCCTGCCGGCAGGTCTGGCTCTCTCGCTAGCCCAGGCGCCTCAAGAGGTGCGACAGCCACCCAGAGGGGCGCGGAAAAGAGGAGTTCCTGACCCTGAGCACCAACCCCCACCACTACCACTGATCCAAACGCCCCGAGTCGGCGGACGACTCCACACGGGCCCTGCAAGCCCCAAGCCGCCCGCACCCAGAGCGCGCCAGCAGTCCCGGGGCGCCGCTCTGCAAGGGCAAGGACCCCGGGTGCGCTCTTCCCTGCAGCTGTCGCGGGCCGCCCTGCATCGCTGCAGGGCAAAGGGGAGGAGGGGGTGACAAGGAAGAAGGCGGAGCAGGCAGCCCCAGAAGCACTTACAATCGCCAGGAAAGCGCCTCCTCTCGAGGAAGGGAAGGAACGGCTCCCCGGCTTAGGAAACGCCCCGGGGATGCCCCAACGCGCGGTGCCGCCTTTCTCCGCCGATTCTTTCACGGATTCTCCCGCCTCCAGTCCGTCCTCCACCCCACCCCATCCCGCGCCCCGAAAGCTGATCCGAGATTTCCTCCCCGCTGCTTTCCAGGGACCCACACACCGTTTCGGCTGCCCAAAGCTCATGCAACAGGCGGAGCCTTAGGGCTCCAGCGACGGCGGGCTCCGGGGACCGGAGGATGGGGGCCACGGCGAGCCAGGCGCCCAGCAAGATGCAAAGTCCCCTGCGGTCGTAGTCCTGAGGGTCCTGCCACCGCAACCTGGAACACTGGGGACGGGGGCGACAAATGGTGGGAGGGGCGGCAAAGTTGCGGGGTCGCACGGAGAAGTCTCCGGGGCGCGCGGGGAGGTGGGGACACAAGCAGGTACCTGCAGGAGTCCAGGCGCGTCCGGCTCGCTCCGGTCTGCGACC